AAAAAAAAAAAAAAAAAAAAGAACCACAAGTAATCTGATTATAAACTGGGCAAATGCTCCAAATAGCCATTTCTCAAAAGTGGACATAAAATGGTCAACAAGTATATGAAAAGATACTTAACATCACTAACCAATCATCAGGGAAATATAAATCAAAACCACCATGAGGTATCATCCTCACCCCAGTTAGAATGGCCATTATCAAAAAGGCAATAAATAAGTGCTAACAAAAATGAGAAGGGAATTTTCATACACTGTTGGTGGGAATATAAACTAGCACAGCTGTTAACAGAAACAGTATGGGGATTCCCCAAAAAATTACAAATACAGACAGCTGGCTGTCATGGTACACACCTGTAATCCCAGTACTTGGGAGAATGAGGCAGCAGGATGGCAAATTTGAAGTCAGATTGGGCTACACTGTGAGTCTGAGGCTACATAGACCCTATCTCAAACCAACCTCTTAAAATAAAAAATCAGAAATATGACCACTATATGATTCAGCAATCCCACTACTGGACATATTCTAAAAAGAATTAAGTATGTCAAAAAGACATCTATTCTTGTATTATACTTGGAAGGTTTACTACACTACTATTCACAACAGCCAAGATATGAAACCAACCTAGCTGCCCATCAGATGAAAGAGAGAATGTAGAATTACGTACAGTGGAATATTATTCAGTCATTAAGAAAGAATGAACTTCTGTCTTTTGCAGCAATATGGATGGAACTGGATATTATGTTAAGTGAAATAAGATAGGAACAGACAAAAACCTTATGTTCTCATTTATAATAGAAGCTAAAAAGTTGATTTAAAATCAGTAGAGAATAGAACAGTGCTTACCAGAGCCTTGGAAGTGTGTAGGGGACAAGAGAAGACAGTTAACAGGTACAGGGGCTAAGTTGGATAAGAATAACTTCTGTGCTTCTTCTATAGCACAGTGGGATAAATACAGCTGACAACAACTGACTATTTAAAAACAGCTAATAGAAGCTGGGTGCTGGTGGCTATGTCTATAATCCTAGGTACTCAGGAAGCAGAGATCAAGAAGATCTCCGTTTGAAGCCAGCCCCAGCAAATAGATAGAGAGAAACCCTATCTTGAAAACACTCAACACAAAAAAGGGCCAGTGGAATGGCTCAACTGTTAAGAGTGCCTGCTTAGTAAGCGGCAAGTGCTGAGTTCAAACCTCAGTACCAAAATCAAAAAAAAAAAACCCCAACCAAAACACCTTAAAAAATTTCAGAGGTAGGAAGAGGAATGGATTGCAAATGAGCATAAAGGATGATGCCCCCCATCATCCTTTATTGGGGGGTGGGGGGATGCTGTAGAAGTAGACTTTGGTGATGTTATACTACTAGTAAACCTACTAAATATTACTGAATAAAAAAGTGGCGAGTTTGTAGTAAATAAATTATGCCTCAGTAAAGCTGTTAAAGTAATTCAGTACCACAGGGAAAGTATTTCATTTCTAAGAAGCTAGAAGGTAACTGGAAAAAAGGCTATTTTCTCTATTCTTTCTGATTTTGCTTACCAGGTATGACTCCTGGGTAACCAATTTTCTTTCCCAACTTTTTCAATGCAGAATTTCTGTGGTCCATTGCTCCCTAAAATATAATAAAATCATGAAGAGTTTGTTGGTTCAAAAATTCTCAAATTATGCCTCCAATTCAGCAGCATGAGCATCACCAAGTTAGAACCACAAATTAACAGGCTCTACCAAGTCAAAAACCCTGAGAGAAGGACTCTATATAGTATGTGTTTTAACAAGCTGCCAAGTGATTCTGGTGCTATTTGAAGACCATTTTGTTAACATATGCCCAGAAGGAGAAAATGCGGTTTTATCCATCATTTCTTTGCTAGACTAGCACAAAGTTATGATTAATAACAGCTCACAAGAATATACAAAAAGCAGCTTAATTTTAGTAGTTTTAGACACAATAGGATAACTATGGCCCACTTTCTAATACATCCTAGTGAACAGTAACAATGCTTGCAATCACAGGACCTGTAGAGCATACCCTTGTACACATACATTCACACACAATTTCTTGTCTCTGCTGATAGCTATGATCTACTGATGATCTGAAAGCACAGGTTTAATAAAAGGTCATTTCCCTTCCCTAGGAATCATTTATAATTGTTAGTGTTAATGGACTTTTTTCTCAGGCTAGATATAGTGTACAGGCCTATAATCCCACCTAACTGGGAGGTGGGTATCAGGAAGCCTGTGGTTCCAGGTCAGCCCATGCAAAAAATTAGAGAGACTCCATCTCAACCAAAAGGCTGGACATAGTGGCATGTGTCCATGTTCCCACCTATGCGGGAGGCATATGTAATAGAATCACAGTTTGAGGCTAGCCCTGGGGGAAAAACCCACAAGATTACTTGAAACTAAGTAATGCAAAAAAAGTGCTGAGGATGGGGTTCTTCAGTTGGTAGATCACTGTGCAAGGCTGAGTTCAAACTGACTAAATCTTAGTACAAATATAAATTGGTCATATTTTTGTAGTTAATAACAATGAATTATTTTCATGAGTAGTTATGTAAGAAGTTCAATAAAATAAGGAAATGGTCATTATGAAAGAAGAATGGTTAAAATTGTTCTCTGGTATTAAACACTAAAATTTACTCATTTTACATGCTTCTCTCAATATATTACAGATGAAAAGGAGTTAATAATGCTAACATGTAATAGAGAAGATTCTGAATCAAATATTAAAATAGTAGGCAGAGAGGGATTTTAGTAAATTTCATTTGTAAAGGCTATTTTACAGCCAGGAGATGGTGGCTCACACTTATAATCCTAGCTACTTGGAAAGCTGAGATCAGGAGGATCGTATTTCAAGGCCAGCCAGGTAAATAGTTTGTGAGACCCTATCTCCAAAAATAACCAGAGCAGATATGGACGGGAAGTGTGGCTTGAGCGGTGAAAAGTCTGCTTTGCAAGTTCAAAGCCCTGAGTTCTAACTCTAGTTCCCCCCAAAAAGAGGTTATTTTACAAGTATGCCTTTTAACCATCATTTTGACTGCTTTCTCCACACCTCCAGCATTGACTGCTTTCAAAATTCAATGTCTAATTGTAAAATTTATATGCTGAAATTATAGGTTGCTTATTTTCAATCTTAGTCTGACACTAGTCCTAAAATACATAAACTTCTGTATAGACTCTTGCACCTATGTTCCTAATTTCAAGCACCTTTCAAATCATTGGGTATCTGAAGCCTAATTTACATTTTACAGCCTTGGCTACTGTAATAGGGGGCCTCTGCATGCTAGGCAAGTGCTTTACCACTGAGTTACAGCCCCAGCCCAAACACTACACTTTTAAATAAAATCCACCTCATATTTCTCTAAAATGGCCATTTATAATTTATTTTGGTAGGTGTATTATACCTGTACTGTGTTTAGGTTGTTTCTCTTTTTTTCTTGTCAAACATACTTAAGTTTATTATTTATCTTTTCTATCTGTGTCATTTTCCAGTGCTGCTTATACAGAATGGTTTCTGGTTTTCTCATAAACCCAAACCTTTACTGTAAGTAGGAAAAACTATGTGCCTTTTAGTTATCTCTTCTAACATAGTTACAAATGCATATCATTTCATTAAATCACTTTTTAAAAAATTTCTCATTTATTTTCAATCATTCTACCTCAGCCTCCCGAGTGCTAAAATAACAGGTGTGTGCCACCATGCCAAGCTAAAAAGTTCTCAAAACAATTAAACAAGAAAAAAAGAAAAGTGACATTTACAAATTTTATTTCAGAATATTGAAGGGCATATTACAAGTTTTAGTTAATAAAAATGAAATGTTGGATCAGATGTGAAGAGTCACCATGTTGAAGGATTACAAACATCAATCCTATATCCTTCTCCTGCCTTGGGCTTACACAAGATTTCTTCTAATGTTCTATGAACTATAATCTTATTATCTTGTTTTACAGGGCTATCCATCTGTGTTGTTTTACATAGCCTCATGCAACTCAACTATTATTTCCAAGAGCAGAACTAAGTTTTGTCCATTCATTCATTCATTCATTCACTCACTCACTTTTATTTGGTGGAACTGGGATTTGAATTCAGGGCTTTGTGCTTGCAAAGCAGGAGCTCTACCGCTTGAACCACACCATCAGTCCATTTTGCTCTGGTTTTTCTGGAGATGGGGTCTTGCAAACAATTTGCCCAGGCTAGCCTCGAACTATGATCCTATCTTAGCTTCCCAAGCAGCTAGGATTACAGCAGAAAGACATAGGTGCCTGGCTTGACATGCCATTTTTATACCTCATCTTCTAATCAAGTTCTCTATCTGTTTCTACTTTTGGAACTTCTCTAGCATTTATCCATTCTTTTTTTTTTTTTTTCCCCAATTCTATCTAAAATCAAGTTCTCATCTTTTCCTACCTCCAGGCTCTACCCTCATCTTTTAATGCATACCATTTGTCTTGCTATCAAATTTTCCTGAAATGTACTTCAGCAAGTTCTCCCCTATTCAAAAAGTTTCTACTTGTAATGCTCTCAGGGTAATATCCAAAATCATTTGGTCTAGCTTTTAAAGTCTTATTAAATTGGTTCTGAATTCTGTATGCAAAATCACCTGCTTAGTTCGCTACTTGTGACTCAGCTGAAGCACTGTTAAAGAGATCACAGCTTCTCTGTGCACCCTCTTATGGTACTTGGCATAATATTAGTGTCAAAGAAATACTTAAATTTATATAAATAATTTATCATTTAGTCACAAAATAAAAAGATGATGAGGATACAGATCTACATCTGAAAGAGCTCCCAGACTAAAAGGGAAGTGTTTTTAAACATGAAACGGGGCCTGAGGCTGAAGCCTGCCCAAAAAGTCTGAGGCTCTGAGTTCAAACCCCAGTACAGCCAAAGAAATAATCCAACCAGCCATACAAACAAAAAATACAATAGGGGACAATAACCACTATTGTACAATGATCTTCTCAATTCATTGAAATAGTTTTGTGTCATTTAGGAGACACTGTAATCTTTGTCAAATTACTGAATGAGCAAAAAGATTCACAAACAGAAGACTACTATCCTATTGAGTTAAACTGTGGATTCAAGCTTGAGGATTAAAAATTTCTATAAGGACTAGAAAGTGATTTAAAAGCTTACACAAATACAAGTTTACTGTGGCTAGTTAAGAAAATGATTATACTTGTCTTTGTTATTTTTGGTAAGTTTTATAAACATTTATCTAAAAGCGGTATAATAAACAATTTTTTTGTATAGGATCAGTGACTCTATATACATACCCATGAGGTCAGCAAATCCTCCTACTGGCAATCGGCAGGTTCCAGTAACAAACTGTAGAAGTCTCATTCTCTTCTCATTATCAATTTCTTTAACAAACTGTTAAAATAACATTTAAAGAGATATAGAAGTCACATGTTACATTCAGCTCACTGAACAAAAAGAAAAATGCTCATTTCAAATCTTAAATCAACTCCTGGTGTCAGTTGCATAAGATAAGGACAAACATAGCCATGTTTGTCAAAGCCCCACCTATACATATATATCTCTTAGAATGACTTCGTTAAAAGTAAGGATGCCCTGGGCCTAAGAGCTTCCCACTCATACAGTTTGAACAAAGATCACCTCTTGTTGGGCAGCCCCTTTTCCCTCCTAGATCTGCCTGGGCTAGATGTTCATGTGCTTACATAGGACACAGAAGTCAAGTATGTATAGACTTTTTGGTTTTGTGAATAAATGAAATCAAGCTCACAGAATTTTATTCCAGATATAATTCATTAACTTCCTTTCTTCAATTTTTTTTAGGTTTTGGTATAGCTACACGTAGCCAAGATTAGGTAGGTTTTATGTCCTACAGTTCTGACTGTACAATGAAATGGTACTAAGTACATTCATACTGATGTGTAGCCATCATTACTATCTTGAGAACTCTTTCATTATCCAAAGCAAAAACTATGCATACATTAAACATAACTTTCCACTCCCACTCTCTACAGTCCCTGGTGATTTCTATCCTAATTTCTATCTCAGTGAATCTGTCCATTCTAGGAACCTCATGTAAGTGGAATAATACAGTATTTGCCTGATGTATTTCACCTATTTAAAAATTCATGTTTATGCTCATTGTTTCAAATACTTTTGTTCTGAACACTATTTTCCTCTTGCAGTGCTGGGGATTGAATTTGGGGATTTGAGTATGCTAGGCAAGCTACACCTGCAGCCCACAGTTCATAATGTTTTGTTTTGCTCACTATGTACCCCAGGTTGGCCTCAAACTCATCCTCCTGTCTCAGCCTCACATGTGCCTCCACACCCAGCACAAATTTCGTATTTTTAAACTTCATTCATGTTGTACCAAAGTTGAAACTTAGGGCCTCTGTACTTCTAAGCAGGTACTCTACTCCTGGAACCACATCCATAGCTTGTTTAGTTTTTTTTTTTTTTCCTCTCTTTGCAGTACTGGGGTTTGAACTCAGGGCCTACATCTTGAGCCACTCCACCAGCCCATTTTTGTGACAGGTTTTTCAAGATAGGGTCTCACGAACTATTTGCCTGGGCTTTGAACCTTGATCCTCCTGATCTCTGCCTCCTGAGTAGCTAGGATTGCATGTGTGAGCCACTAGCAACCAGCTGTTTTAGTTATTTTTCAAATAGCATCTTGCTTTTACCCAGGCTGGCCTGGAACCCAATGCTTCCTGTCTTCATTTCCTGTGTTGCTAGGATTATAGGGATTAGTCACTGTGCCCTACTCCCTCAACATAACACTAATGGTATAAGCAGGTATCTGTAACTATTAATGATGTCAATCACCTTTTTTTTTTTTTTACGATAATGGGGTTTTAACTAGGGGACTACTTGCTAAGTAGGTGCTCTATCACTTGTGCCACTCAGCCAGCCTTTTTTATGTTGGTTTTTCTCAAGATAGGTTCTCTCGAACTATTTGCCTGGGCTGGCATCAAATGGTGATCCTCCTGATCTCTATCTCCTGAGTAGCTAGTACAGGTGTGAGCCACTGGTGCCTGGCTTGTTCAGCACCTTTTTATGTTCTTATGTATTTGTGAGAGATACTAATGTGGTTCTAAACCCTATCTTTTAAATTTTGCCAACTGAACATTATTTAATTCTTAATGAAGCATGAATAGTGAAAAGCATATTACAGTATTTTATCTTCTGGACTATACTCTGGGCAAAGCTATGTGTTGCTTAACAATAGCCTTTAAAGAATGCTGTTAAAATCTCTCATTTATCTATTATAATGCATTACTTTAATGTCTAGGATGGGCTGAGTGGCCTGCACACATTACATTTTATTCTGTTACTTATTGTAGCAAATTTTAAACCATTATGCTGTGTTGGTCAATAAAAATAAAATTAGAAAGGCAGCCATGATGGCACATGCCTGTAATCCCAGCACACAGGAGGACTGACACAGAGGATCGTAATTTGAGGCCAGCCTGAGCTATACAGCAAGTTCCATGCTAGCTTGGCTTCATAGTGAGACCTTTCTCAAATAAACAAACAATTAAATTAAAAAATAAGTCGATTAAGAAACAAACCTGCCAAAACCACATGATTTGTTTGCTTGTCCTAGTATAATGACGGTAGATGGCATGTCTTTGCCAGTCATTCAAATCAATCTCTTGCATTCCACATAAAAGTACCTTTTAGGGAAGAAAAAGATAAATTGTTTAATGATTTTATACATGAACTGTATACAAAATGCTTAGTATAAATATGAAAACACTAATATAAGGCAACTTGGAAAATATATTAATAAACAGGTTTTAGGCTTGTAAAGTGTACATCAATAATTATATCTACATTACTCAGGAGTGTGAGTTTTCATGCATGGTGTCATATACACATATATTCAGGGTAGTAAATCATTTAATTGTAGAGAAGCCTTAATAGCAATTTATGCAGGCAGGCATGTATGTATTAATTTATGCAATACAAATTTATGTATGTATGTATTCACTTATTTATTGGTAGGACTAGCGTTTGAGTTCAGGACTTTCTCCTCAAGTCCATTTTACTGTGGTTATTTTTAAAGATAGGGTCTTGCAAACCATTTGCCTGGGTTGGCCTCAAACTGCAATCCTAATCTCAGTTTCCCAAATAGTTCGGATTACAGGTGTGAGCCAGCAGCACCTTGAGCCACTCCAGCAATCCTTTCTTTTGTGTGTGTGTGATGGGTATTTTCGAGATATGGTCTCTCCAACTACTTGTTCAGGCTGGCTTTGAACCTCCTTATCTCTGCCTCCTGAGTAGCTAGGATTATAGGTATGAGCCACTGGCGCCGAGCTAACAGCAACATTTTAAAGGTAGTTTTATCTTAGCATAAATTATGGTTTTCTTTAACCACTGCAGAAGATTCAAAACATCTTTACCAACATGAAAAATATTGTTTGCCAGCTAGATGGCAGTGGGAAGATGGACAAGTGAGTTGAAAGTAGATACCTGAAGGCATTATTTACTAGCACGTTGCAGCTGGGGAGGTGGGGGAGAGAGGGAGGGAATTCATTACCTCTAATTCCTTTGCATCGAAGTACTGCAAATACTGCTGGGGAAGAATTTCATTAAAGCCTTCAAAGAAAGCTTGTGTCTGTTCTTCAACACCTCTAGATAACCTCCACTCAGCTACCATTCTGGCAGATAAATATGAAAAGCTTATCAGGAATTTTAGATTTTACCTTTACATTCTCAGTATAAAATTAAAAATGTAAAACTTTACTGTCATGGAAATCTGAAATATATATGAAAGTACAGTAGAATGAACCCCTTTGTACACATGTCCAAGCTTCATCAAAATGTCAGTCTTACTTCATCTATACCCCTAATTCATACTGTAGATATGTTTCATTTGAAGCAAATATTTCTATGTGTCTCTACAACATGAAGCCTCTTTTCACAAGCATACCACTATAGCACCAAAAAAAAGAGAACAATTCCTTAATATCAAGTATTTAGTGCTCAGATTCTGGCTGATGCAATTTTTTGAACTAATTGTTTAAATCAGGATCCTAAAAAAATACGTATGTTGCAAAAGTCTCTTAAGCATCAGATTCTTTTTTTTTTTGGCAGTACTGGGGTTTTTACTCAGGGCTTCATGCTTCCTAGGCAGGTGCTCTATCACTTCAGTCATCCCACCAGCCCTTTTTTGTGTTGGTTACTTTCTCGAACTGTTTGCCTAGGTTGGCTTTGAACCAAGATCCTCCTAATCTCTGCCTCCCAAGTTGTTAGGATTACAGTCATGAGCCACTGGTGCCAGGTGAATCTTTTAATGAAAGCATTTTTGAAGAAAATTCTTCTTTAAATATTCCAGATTTCAAATCTGCTTTTCTTCTAATCTTCATTTACATATATTTTAACAAAGTTAAAAATCGTAACATATAAAAATTAATTTTTGTTTCAGAATATTTACTTTAAAAAATTTTAATGAGCAAATAAATTTGGGTATTTCAGGCACTTGATACCTTGACAACATTTGGAGTCTAAAGTTTACTGAAAACTATGAAATTTTTTTAAATGGTGTGTAGGTCTTCTGGTGCTTACCACAGATTATGTTTTGCACTGTATAGAAAGACAAAGTAAAGTAAACCTACCCTTTATACCCTCAGCCCTGGCCCTGTGCCAGTCTGTATTATGAATGAGGAGACATAGGGAAAGAAAAGAAAATGCAGTGTAGGTTGTATTGGACAAATCATATGATAATTCTAATTCTAATTCTAAACTCTGTGAAAATGATTAAAGAAACGATCAAAGATATTAGCAAGAGACCAAATGCAGGCAGGAACTGGTGGGGATGAATCTTGAAAGGAGGTCTGCAAACTAGAGCAGATCTACATTTAATAGACTTTTCCCTAGAAAGCACTTTACAGTTTACAAAGAGCATAGATGTGGAGAGCGCAAAAAGAAAGCAACAGTCCTGTTGGGCTGAGAAGACATGAAGTTGGGAGTGTGAAGCTCCTACAGCAGTGAGGGGAAAATCCCAGAAAGTAGGAAGACAGACAGGAAGCTCCCAAATCTGCACGTAAATTTACTTATAGTTCTTAGTTGCATATATGTAGCAGATTCCAAGGAATCCTGTGGAGAGCAACAAGTGGAATGCCAAAGACCTAAGCAGAAATTTCAGCTGTGTTGGAGAGACAGAATTTAAGCATGTACACTTTCAAGGGGTTGAGAAAACACTTAGGGCCTTCTATTGTAAGGAATAGGGACCATGTTCCAGGTGTAAGAGTTATGTTTTAGGACTCAAGACAAAATGGAAATGAAAGTGCCCTAGGAAACTTCCACAGGACCACAGTGATGTCTCCTTTATTTAACTGCCTATCAGAACAAAAGAGGTATAAAATTCAATAATCGTTACAGGAAGAAAAAGAAATGGAGAATTTCTGCCATGTATTACAATTAAAAATTACTACACAAGCAAAGAAGCAGGAAAATGTGGCCCATATTCATGAGAACAAACTCCACAGAATTAGGCTTATAGATGGCCTAAGTTGAAGTTAGCAAAGACTTTAAATCAGCTATTTAAAATGTATCAAATATACATTCAAGGAAGGAGGGATGTATCTCAGAAGTAAAGCATTTGCCTACCACATGAAATGACCTGAGTTCAATTCCTAAACTTGAAAAAAAAAAAAATCATAGTTAAAAGTAAACAAAAAGTGGTGTACCACTTATAATTTCAGTTACTGGGAGGCAGAGGTAGGTAGCACCATGATTTGAGGCCAGTGAAGCAAAATTAGCTTGAAGACTCTGTCTGAAAAATAAACTAAAAGCAAAAGGACTTAAGATGTGATTCACGAGGTAGAGCACCTGCCTAGCAAAACATGAGGAGACCTTGAATCCAATCCCCAGTACTACCAAAAAAGAAAAAAAGGGGGAAAGAAATAGAGCTTCTTAACAGAGAAGTAGAAATTCTTAAAATAACCAAATGTAAATTCTAGAATATCTGAAATAAAAATTTTATTAGATGACCTTAAGGGTTATAAAAGAGCAGTGAAAATGAAGGCATATGAACCAAAATAATCTAAACTGAAGAACAGAAGAAAAAATGGTCACTGAAAATTATGGGGTGACATGAAAAGTTAAAAAGATTCACGTAACTTAAAATTCTTGAAGTAATACAGAAAGGGAGTGAGCCTCAGGGAGCACTCATGAAGATAAAATCCCACAGTTCCTCATAGAGTGGAGTGGCATCAACCACAGACATGAGAAGTTCAGCAAGCAAGCATGCTAAATGCAAAGTGATCACAACTATGCACAGGGAAAAACTGCTGAAAATAAAAAATTAAATTCTTCAAAAGCCATGGAAAAACATGTATTTAATTCAGAAAAACATGAACAAAAGCACAGATCATCAAAAACAAGAGAACAACGGAATGACACTGAAATAAAGTAGTAAAAAATTTAAAATACTATAAACCTATAATTCTAAATCTCATGAAAAGAGCCTTCAAAACTAGAAGTTAAATAAAATGTTCATATAAAAGCTGAGTAAATTTATTGCCAGCAGATACACTAAGAGATATGATAAAGAAAGCTTTTAAAGCCGAAGGAAAGTGATATTAGATAGAAAAACATATGAAGAAATGAGGTTCAGAAATGGTAATGTAAACTGGGCATGCTTGTAATCCCAGAAACTCAAGGAGGCTGAGACAGGAAGACCGAAAGTTTGAAGCCAATCTGGGATTCAAAGCAAGTCCTTGTCTCAAAAACAAAGTAATATGAATAAATATAATAGGCTATTTTTCTTAATTACTTTAACAATCTACTGATTACTTAAAGTAAGAATAAGATCTCATGTTATGAGATTTATAACATGTAAAAATAAAATGGGACAATAGCACAATGAGCCATGCCCCTAGCTACAAGGATATTTTACACTAATTAAAATAATTTAAAGTACAGATTATTTACTAACAAATAGTACCTTTATACTATACATTGATAATGGCTAAAATTGTGCATTTTTAATTATAAAGGGAAAACCAAGCAAACAATCTAGAAACTGGAACTTAAGAAGAAGCAGACAGCACACATAATTAGCAGAGAGCTGAGCAATGCCCTAGAGAAAATGGTTAAAAACCTCAGATCAGGCACCTTCTCTTGGAATCCTCCCCCAACTCTGGGGGCTCTACTGTCCTGCTTTACACTTTTCTATCTCAATAAACTCTCCTACTTTACTCGGAGGAGGAAAAAAGCAAATAATGCTAAGTTTAACTGCAATTAGACAGAATTGGTGTTGAGAACTATAAAGGAACTAATAACTTTTGAGACTCTGCAGTCTCAAATCAGTGCACAAAGCGTTATAGAGGATAAATCATTAAACCATTGTTTTACTCATAAATTTTATCTAATTTTACCATACTCCTCACAAAAATATAAACTTTTGAGATTCTTTTCAATGACCATGGCATAGTGAATACAGAATTGGTATTTACAAAAGTGCTCCAACAAGACTTCTACTCTTAAAACTCAAACTCTTAAAACTGAAAACTAGAAATGAAAAATAATTACCTACACAGAATTATGATTAATACAAAAGCAAATGTTATTTAGAAAAATAACCATCCATTGCTATTGCTAGGCAATTATCAACAGAAAGTCTAAACTATGTCAAAGGAGTGTTCTCTTACCTAATGTATTCTTCTTTATTTTCTTCTGTCACAAGAATATTGCCACCATTGGGTTTCAAATCATGACTCTTAATTTCACCTAAAATTTCTTTATCAACGGAGAAGTACATTTCCAAACCACATTCCTCAATATTGTTTTCTCTGCATAAATGAAATTAGTACTATTTGTTATATCTACCAATTTAATCGTAATTTAAAAGTTTTAAATTCAAGACCTTTGATCTTAGTTAACTTTAAGCTATAAAATCAAAATAAGAAGAAACTGGAAGATTAGGCTCTAAAATCCTATTATTGTCCACGATTCTGGATATACCTCTATAAAATTTATAACTCAACAATGAGATAGGTTTAATGTATAGACTGCTTAAATCCAGTAAGCCAATGTCATGCTTACAGTTTAGATGAGTTACTAATACCTTAATCAAAACATATAAACTATATTTTAATAATTGTAAAATGAAACTTACTTAACCCAGATTAGAGAATTGTAAAATTCTGGATCAATAGATTCTAAATCCTTAAGTCCAACTGGTTTGTTCAAGATACGTTTATAGAATGGTAAAGAAAAACCGGTGTCTATAAATTTCCCATGGAACAGAGCCTATACAGGAAGGGAACAAAACCATTTAAGATAATTGTATAAATGTCATTTTATTTCAAAACATTAGATGAATTTTTCATTCTAAAAAATTCCTGTCACATGATCAGTTATGCCACATAAGAAAATTAAGTACTGATGAATTAGCAAAGCAAACGCACAGTTCTATACATGCACTTACCATGGCAATAAACCTGCCAATAAAATGAAAGTATTTCAAGTGATCTGGATTGATGTAAGAAGCAGGGTTTATCTGCAAGCAGTAGTTGTCCTTCCCTGCATATTCAAACAGGCAATACATGGGGTTCAACACTTCATGTGACAAAAGAAAGAACCATTCTCTGAAATCAAAAGAAAACATAGGATGGAAAATCTTATAAGTAACCATCCTAGCAAATCAAAGAGGAGTGTTACAAAGTTTTTGGAAATCTATACACCTCAGCTGGTGACAGTTTCCTAATCTCACATTGATTTTTATTGCTTCTGTTCAAGCTTATGAGTATTTTACAGATGATACATATACACATTTTTTTTTTCTGGGGGGTAAGGGGAAATTACTGCAGTTTGAACTCAGGGTCTCACACTAGCTAGACAGGCACTCTACCACTTGAGCCACTCTGCTAACCTATTTACTGCTTATTATTATATTTCAAAGCATCTAAGACATCACTGACCTTAAAGACACCCTTATTTGATGACCCACTCAATTTCTTTTCCAATTTTAATTGTAATACACATCTAAATGTCAGAGAGTTAAAATATGAAAATGTTAAGTCTCAGAACTGATGAAATACCATACACAGCAAGTTGTTATTGGCCCAGTTGTTTCAAGCTGCTGAAATCATTTAATATTCCTTCTATTACTGAATGATATTCAACAAGTGGCATTATTCCCTACATCTCAGATGACTATAAAAACTTTCAATTTCACAAAGGCAGAAAAGCACTTAATTCCAGCCACACAATTATTAGAACAATGCTCTGAAAAGATCTAATTCAAGTGTTCTAAAAATACGTACCCATATTAAGATAAGATTATGTTTACTATGTTACATGGATGGGTCTGGGAGAACAGATCTGGTGCAACACACTGTCTTTTCAGCCTGCGTCCTATCACTCTTTATCATGGCCACTGGTGACAACGCTGCTTATACTTTAATATTGCTAATTTAATTTTCTAATTAGGATTAAATAATCGCTCTCCTTTTGAATTGTCCTTAACATACAAAAGTAAATATTCCTGATATTATTTATCTGTGATTACTTCACACATTTTCAAACAGCTATTTGAATTTTGCAATAGAATATAAATAACTCCTGAAATGTAGCCACCAGTAGCAATCGAGCAAAGACTCTGAACTAGATTATTAATAAAAGTATTTCTACTCTCCATAATAATCCTAGATAGTAACTATTCTTATTTTACAGCTGAAGATATTTGCCCAAGGTCACACTATTGAGGTTAGGAAATAGATTCAAATCCAGTCTTGACTCCAAAGTCTTTCCTTTCAACATTGCCACTGCTATCTAAATTTTTAATATGATATGACATATTGTTACAGAATAAGCAGATATTTTTTGCTTGAGGCTGTTTTCTAGGGTTTGATTACAAGTTCCAAAAAGAGGAAAAAAAAAAATTAAAGACTTTCAACTCCCTATTTTATATAGCTTTTTATAGTCTCATGTCAGAATATTAATCTCAGCAAGGAACCAAGCACTTCAGAGGGCCATGGTGCTCTGTTAAACAGACATGAGGTGGTTGACTGAACTAAGCTATTGATTAAATAATGCCAACCTTGTTCTAGGATACAACTTATAAATGCCTTATTTGAAATCTCTGAAGCCTCTTCACCTGTAAAATTCTATCTTGCAGGATTATTTCTGAGGACTAAATGATTTGATAAGCCAATTATGGGTGCCCTAGAAAGTACTTAATTGTTGAAATTCTGTAGCTGTAGAATAAAGCTGCAATATTTGCTATGTATCATTTTCCTGAGATATCAGATTGAGAAAATAATATTTGTAAGCAAAGTGTAATGATACCTTTGGAGTAAAGAAACTAAGTTCTGAGTATTCATATTATCACTACCTTGCTACACCTCCATAATCTAAACCTTCTTCTCCTGGAAAAATCACCCACAAACGTCTTCGCAGGTCTTGGGGATTGAAGCTCATTATCTACAAAACAATAAAGTGAGACAATTGGTGAAAGGAGTTGTAGAAACACAATTCTACCACTTCTAAGTTTGACACCTACTTCATTATAGGTAACTTAAATCCCTCATGACATAGAATTGTGTTTACATTCTAGTTAACATCACAGATGTAGAAAATACATTATATAAAGTTTCTTAAGTTTTAAATATTATACACATCTACATTTTATATACATTATATACCTCTATATATAACTTGTAAAGTTAATTGACCAATTGCTTAGAACACAGAATAGCATGGTCAGAGATTAGGTAGGTTTTTTTGCGGTGTCGCGAGGGTTGGTTAGGTTAAGGTTTGTTTCACAGTTAAAGGTACACATAATACCTAACTGACTAAAACCTGTGTCTACAGAGTGCATCCAGTTAACTCTGGAAACTTATTCATATTGACAGCCTATACATACATGGTAAAACTACTCAAATTTAGTGTTCCACCATGTGGTTAATAAGATTATTTTCAAATTTAAAGGACTGTACCATTACTGAGCTAAAATGGACAGGTCATTTGGTTTTTCCATCTGTAAAACTAATTATATACCCTTAAAAAAACCCAGAAAAACCCACAGAGGCCTGGATAGGGAGAATTTAATATAATACCTGTACTTTACCAATGATAAGAATGAATTCTCACATTTAAATATCCAAAGTGGATCAGTAAGTAATCTGTTTAAGTCAGGGTTCTCTCAGTTCCCCCAAAAAAAGACACATCAGATTTATGAATTCATATCTCAAACAATTAACATCCCAAATGTGACAAAAAAATTCGATGCCTACAAAATGCTCATCATATACATACATGTTTATGACAAATACTCTACAAATAGTACAGGCTAAGTATATAGCAATGCAAATGAGAAATGTCACAAAATTATAAACTATCATTAAATAATTCATTTTAACAACTAATATGAACAAATTCTTTTTTCTGCTATTTCCCCCATAAGCAGTTATATTATGTTACTGAAAAAATACTCTGCAAAGTAAATTTACCCAATAGCTATGAAGAAAATCTGAAGCCAATTTTGATATCAGATCATTACCTTTAAACAATTAAATTGTTCTCTTTTATTTCGTAGATGTCAATCTAAGGCAGCAGTTTTTTACCTTTTTTTTTTTTATTGTAATTTATTTATCTTTTTGCAGTATATGGGAGGCTTGAACTCGGGGCTTATTCTTGGTAGGCAAGTGCTTTATCATTTGAGCCACTCTGCTACCAGACCCAGGTAGCAGTTAAAAAAAAAAAGTTTTAGCACTACCTGTTCTGTCATACTGCAAAACACTTTAGGTTTGAAAAGTCAAAAGGTAAAGGGAGAGTAATCTTTTCAATAATGATAGAAGCAAGTTATGCTCCAAGAAATTCATCCAACAGAAACAGACTACTCAGTGACAAAAGGGTGATTATGAATATGAAAATTAGAAATGGGCAAGGACTGGGGTGGGGATGGCCTTAGAGAAGGGTATGATCAGAATTCTCTGATCTCATTCTAGTTCCAAGTCCCATTAAAAAGTTGTCTGTTTCAAAACAGCAAAAGCCAATTAGCTTTTCCCTTTAATGTTAACAACTGAAGTTCCATTAAAAAAATGAACACAACTGTTTCTAAAATCAAATAGCCAGTTACTGCCAACTATCTGAATTTCCTTGCCCTTTGCTTTTAGTTCAGTACTTCTTGAAGCTATATAGCTACTGCGTTAAAATTATGGGTGCTTGAAAATAATCACTTCCACATCTGGCCACAAAACAAGAACTAGTCAGATGTTTTTATTTTAAGACGTTTTTCACTGGCTATTTTATTTTTATTTTTAAATATTTTTTTGGCAGTACAGTGGCTTGAACTCAGGGCCTCACACTTGCTAGGCAGGCACTCTCCACTTGAGTCACTCTGCCAGCCCTTCACTGGCTATTTTAATTTTCCCTATAATAATCACTTAACATTTACTTGTACTTGGTTGTTAGTGGTATCTACAAAAAAAAGGGGGGGAGGTGTGTGAAAAAATTTGTTGACTACTTCTGAAAACTCATCAGTGACCAATTTCTTTCCTACTTAAAAACAAAAGTTTAATTGTTAAGAATAACATATGCTTATTGTAAAAATTAAAAAAAAAAATCAATTGATACAGAAATGTAAAACCAGTCTTCTGTTTCCCTTTCTACCCATTCCACAACTGTAATATGGGTATTTCCAGACTGCCTACCGATAGCCTATTTTCCTATATAAGTGTATCTATTTGAAATAAGAATTTAGCAACTAGTAAAATTCACTAATTACTTATGTTACTCTAGCACTGAAAGACACAGAACACACAGGTACATGCACACACAAAAAAAACTATGTATATGTTCCAGAATGGTACTATGTCAGCTAGCAATGAGATTATACTTTAAAATTCAAGAAATCCAAACTGAAGTATAAACTGTTCAGGTTAAACTGCCAGCATGGAAAAGTATTCCTGGGCTGGCAATGAAGGGACTAAACAACTGGGTAAATCAGACAGTACCTGTTGAAAGGAATCCTCAAACAATGTTTTTCTTGTCACTGTGATCTTTATGTGCTGTGGCATGGTCAGTTGCTGAAATGTAAGAAAGATTTAAGTCAACCCTTACCATTAAAATAGCCTACCAAAAAACCAAAAGGGAAAGTTTTAGTCACTTTTGTCTTTGTTTAGAGAAACTGACTTTTAATATGATTTTTTTTTCTTTGCCCTACTGGTGTTTGAACTCAGGGCCTATACCTTGAACCACAACCTTTTTTTGCGAAGGATTTTTGCAAGATAGGGTCTCAGGAATTATTTGCCTGGGGTGGCTTCTAACCTCAATTCTCCTGATCTCTGCCTCCTGAATAGCTAGGATTACACATGTGAGCCACTGGTGTCTGGCAAAATACCCCTTATTTTTCAAAAAAATTATTTTATTTTGGCAGTACTGGCATTTGAACTCAGTGTATCACATTTGCCCACAGGCACTCTACTACTTGAGCCACTTGACCAGTCCAATATGAACTTATAATCAATAATGTTTACTAAGGCATTTGTGAACATTCATGCTTATAATGGGTTATTTAATATATGAGAAACAGAAGAGAACAAGACCACATTATACACAGTGTTTACTTAATAAATCAAATCTTAGTTTTACTAATCAAAAAGCTAATTCAGATTATTTCCCAATTAACTACGAGAGTTTGGAGTTTACAAATATTTAACATAACAGTTTGACTAATGCATTCGTTTTATTTAGAGCCCATAAAAATCTTTAAAGATTTACTTAGACATTAAAAGTAAATCATCATAGTAATTTATTTAGACATTAGTCATGTTAAATAGCTGATTATATTTGGAAAAAACTGACTTAAAACATGTTTATTCAAACATGTATATGGTCATGTATGTATAAACACATAGGTATATACCAAAGTCATTTATATGAAACACTAGATATGGAATCAGGCATAGTGGTACACATCTATAATCCCAGCACACAGGAAAATGAGACAGGATACAGAATTCCCAGCCAGATGCTCAAGCTACATAGTGCAACCGTGTCTTAAAAAAACAAGTTTTGAGGCATTGGGCACCAGTGGGTTGTGCCTGTAATCCTACCCACCCAGGAGGCAGAGATCAGGAGGATCATGGTTTGAAGCTAGACCTGGGAAGTAGCACGAGAGACCCTATCTTGAAAATACCCACACAAAAAGGTTTGGTGTAGTGGCTCAAGTGGCAGAGTGCCTGCCTAGCATGTGTAAGGCCCTGAGATCAAACCCCAGTCTCACCAATACAAACAAACAAACAAATAAATGAAACACAGCTACTGAGACTGAAAGAGTTGAAGTTCAACAGACCTCATTTCAAGCAACAAAAAGCTGGGCATGGTGGCACACAACTGTTATCACAATTTCAGGGAAAGGACAAACAGGAGGATCAAAGTTCAGACCAGCCTGGGCATAAATGAGAGACATTATCTCAAAAATGACCAAAGCAAAACAGTCTAGGGGCATAGTAGTTGAGAGCCTGCCTAGCAAGCTGGGAGTTTAAACCCCAATACTGAAAAACAAGACAAAAAAAAAACAAAAAAAAGGCCCAAAAGCAAAACAACAACCCCACTAGATATGAAACTGGCTGGTTGTAATTTACAGATAAAAATATTTTATTTGAAAATTTGTGCATTCTGAAAGTAATGGGTACTAAGGAAAAGGTTAACAAATGTTTTCTTATTCAAATGGATTCAAGCTTACTCTTCTAAACAACAGAAGCCGCAATTAGCAAATTGATAAAATCTTTGTTCTGAAAGCAGATGTAAAATGCTTCTTATCTACGCTGTTCTCTTGTGAATTAATCATTTTCGCAACCAACACATCAAGTGGCTCATGCCTGTATCCTGGGAACTTGGGAGGCTGAGACTGAGAGGATTATGGTCCCAGGCCAACCTGGGCAAATAGTTCACAAAACATTTAAACCAGTAAGTGGGCACAGTGCTGTCCCTGTCACCCTAAGCTATACTACATGGGAGGCTGACATATGAAGATCTCAGTTCCAGGCCAGCCTGGGCAAAAAAAGTTTGTGATACCCCATCTCAACAGAGGTGGGTATACTGGTCACCCCAGCCAAGCAGGAAGATCATGGTCTAGGCCAGCCTGGACAAAAAGCAAAACCCTACCTTCAAAATGACTATAGCAAAATAACCAGGGGCTGGAGGAAAGGCTCAAGCAGTAGAGTGCTTGCCTATCAAGCTCAATGCTCTGAGTTCAAACCCCAGTACCATCAAAAAAGGAAAAAAAAAAAAAAATCAACATAACAAAGGCAGAACAGAGATGCAGTTCCCATACTAACCTGACACCAAAACCGGAAATACTGAACTTTTGCCTTGAAGTCTCGAACATATGCTATCTGTGGTCCATTGTCTCTGGCGACAGAACAAGGGTTAACATGATATATACAGCTGTTTGTAAAAGATAATAATAAAGAAAAGCAAATATCCTGCTCCCTTCAGTACTTAGTAACCAAATACAAAAATACCCAACACAGTATATTCCTAAAATAATTTTTTGGGGACATATTTCCCAAAGACTATCTTTAAGTAAAAGAAATAAAATGTGATCATGTTGAAGCCACTGTTGTGGTATTATTTTCACATGCAGTCAAATCTAACAGAGTTGGGTAAAGGAAGTTCTATCTGAGAATGTTGTCTATATTAACATCTTCTCTTTCTATCCTTTGTTCTTAAGAGTCTTGATTGTTAACTGGCAGATTGCTACACAGGATAAAGGCTACATTTTTCAGTGTGTTCACATGACTTGGACTCTCGTTAATGAGCTCTAAAATACTGTCATTTGTGAGTTTCAGGAGGTTCCTTTTAAAGAGAGGAAAGATAGCTTTTTAGGTTTTTTCTTTTTTGTTTTGCTGGTGGAACTGGGATTTGAACTCAGGGCTTCATGCTTGCAAAGCAGGCATTCTACCTCTTGAGCCACACCTCCAGCCCCACTTACAATTTTTTCGTGTTTGCTTTTTCAAATCTCAATTTACCTTCTTTCGTATTTCAGCCTGGAGTATAACTTTGATAGTTAAGTTTCAGCACAGATTACGATGTGACACTGAGGATAGAGACTATGCTCTGGGATGGTAGAACAGAAAAAGAAGTATGTTGTGGGGTTTCCCAGCAAGCCCCAGACGACTTTGTACACTGGAATGCCTGCATTTTCCCCCAAACTACTCTTATCTAAGTGTATGTCACAGTACTGGGGATTGAATTCAGGGTCTTGAGCCAGAGCGGAGTCCTAATTTTATTTTTTCAATGTTGAATGTATTTAAGTATAGAAGTACAATTGACTCGTATATTGATTTTGTATCCTGTGACACTGTTAAATTCATTTACTAATACTACCAGTTTTTTCTTGATTCCTTAAGATTTTCTATGCAAGAATTATGTGTGGGGGGAAAAAAACATACTTTTACTTCTTCCTTTCCAATTTATGTCTTTTATTTTTTTCTCTTACCTCACTGCACTGGCTAGGGCTAGCTATATAATGTTGAGTAGAAGCAGTGGTAGTTAACATCTTGTCATATTCTTGATCATATGGAATGTATCATAAAGTGGTGATGCTGGCTGAAGGCTTTTTGCAAATACCTTTCTGTGGATAAGAACATTTTCAAGATGATTGAGAGTTGATCATAAATTTCCTTTATATTTTATCAAAAAATTTTCCTGAAATGATCACATGGTTTTTCTTCTCTAGTCTATTAATATGGTGACTTACATTGATTTTGTTTTTTATATTAAATCTTGCATTCTTGGGATAAACTCCAATGATGATGATATAACAATCCCTTTTATATCTGACTGGATTCAATTTGTCATTATTTTGTTAAGGATTTTAATAGCTAGGTTCATAGAAATATTAACAATTTTCTTTTCTTATACTGTTCCTGTCTGATTTGGGTATCAGAGTTATTATTATACAAGCCTTATGAGGCTTGTACTTCATAGAAAAATTTGAGTAGGATTTATGTTACTTATTATTTAAAAGTTGGATAAAATTCACCAGTGAGGTCATTTAGGTCGTAATTTTCTTTATCCTTGGCAGTACTAGGGTTTGAACTGAAGGCCTAATGCTTGCTATTTAAGTACTTGAGTTTAAACTCAGGTCCTCAAGCAGGTAGGCAGGCACTCTACAACTTGAAAAACTTAGTTTTTGGATAGGGTCTCATGTTTCTGCCCAGAGCTGGTCTTAGACCACAGTCCTTCTACTTACACCTCCTGCATAGCTGGGATTAAGGTGCAGACCACTGTGCTCGGGTTGTTCGCTTAGATGGTGTCTTGCTAACTTTTTGGCCTCAAACTGCAATCCTTCTGATGTCCACCTCCAAAATAGCTGGAATTCCTGGTGTGCACCATTACACCTGGACCTCCTAATTTTATTTTCCTTTTTTTCCTCAGAATTTTCTTTATGGGAATTCTTTAATTATGAATTCCACTTCTTACCAGATACAGGTATTTCACTTTTGATACTGATAATGTGTGTTTAATTTTTTTCTCTGTCAGGATTACTAGAGATTGTTAATCTTTCCCCAAAATTCAATTTCAAGCTTTGATTTCTCCACCATTTCATTTTCATTGATTTCTGCTTTATTTTTATTTCCTTTATTGTACTTACTTGGAGGTTAATAACTGTTCTTTTTCTAGCTTATATAGTGGAAGCAGAGATCATTGATTTTACACACCTTTCTAATTTTCTAAACTAGTTCTTCAAAGCAGTTAAGTTTCTTTCTGAGAAACACATTAGCTAAATCTCACAAATTGTGATATGCTGTGTTTTTATTATCATTCAGTAGAGAATATTAATTTTTCTTCTATTTTGGGGGGATCAGTTAGAATTAGTTTGAGTTCAGGGCTTCGCATTTGTTAGGCAAATGCTTTACTGCTTGAACCACTGCCAGTCTTGTGATTGTGTTGTTTTGAGGTATGGAACACATGTGACATGTGAAACTGGCCTTTTTATATTTGCTTATTTTTTTGGCAGTTGTAGGGATCAAACCTAGGGCTTCATGCATGCTAGGAAAGTCGCTATCACTGAGCTCTAGTTTTTTTTTTTTTTTTTTTTTT